TGATGGGGGACAAATGGCAAAGGCCAAGAGAGCACTACATATAAGTCTTCTGGGGGGGAATAAGAAAACAAGGAACAAGGCATCATCACAGGGTACATATAACAAGGCAACAACATGGCTTGGGAGACAGGCTTGGGAATGGCATGTGTGACAAGGGTGAAACAAGGCTGAAGCAACAAGGATAGAAACATGACATAAGTGGCTACTGTAGTAAATTGCCATGGTATGTAAAGAAGGGAAACAAAGATGCTGGAGGATAAGGGTCTTTCCTAATAGTCTGGCTCTCTTTGATGGTGGACTTTCTCCCACTTTATACCTGTTTTGTACTTATTTTATTACCAAGTGTGGCTGGTGATCCATGTAGGGTGGTATTGATGGGTTGTTGAGTCTGGTGGAGCTGATGGTATTGTCTTTGGGATGATTGGAGGTGACCTTGAGTGTATTACATATGTAGGATGTTGGTTTGATGGTTGATGTAGAAGGTGTGAAAATGGTCCAGAAAGGTGGTAAAAAGGTGAAACAGGTTTTGATTGGTCTTACCACATCCACCCCCAAATTAGATGATGTCCCCATCATCCAACCTAGTGTTACCTGTGACTTACTTGAGTCAGAAGAGGGAGAAGAAAAGAAAAGAAGAAATCTGACTGGGGAGAAAAAGAAATGTGAAATATGTACAACAAAATTTTATTAAAGCTGTGGAGAGAATTGTGCCAAAAAAAAGAAAGAGGTAAGGAAGGAAAAAAAAGGCGGGGTCTTTAATTTTTATGTGGAGTTTTCCTGGGTTTATACTGTAATTTTTTTTTTGTGGTTTAATTTTTATGTAAAACTTTGAAGTGATTGAAGGAAGCCAAGAGAGAAAAAAAATTTTAAAATAGAGGGGGGGGGGAAAAATAAGAGAAAAGTTTTTCTTTTTTTTTTTTTTTTCTTTTTTTTTTTTATTATGTTTGAAGAGGAAATGTATCAAGCTAAAAGAATAAAAAAAAGAATATGTATGTACAAATGGGAGGGTAAAAGAGTAGAGAGGGAACAGTCAGCTCATCCTTGCAAGAAGTGCAAGCGTCGAGCGTTCGTCATCACGCGCCGCTCTAGCTGACAGGAGGTAGCCATCCGCTTTGGCTCCATCAAGTTCCTTGATTGCGAGGTTAGCCTCCTTAGGACAAGCGAAAACCATGATGGCGCACAGCTCTTCGTCCGGAGCAACGCAAGGCAAAAGGCAGTGGTGAACGCTCCCGTAGGAAGCCAGAGCTGCGCAGATGTCGCCGTCCGTTGTTCCTGGAGCGATATTGGTTAAGAAAACCGGATAGAGGGGTCGTGCGTTTGTGAGCATCGGGTTAGGCTGGTTTGTAGGCTTTGTTCAGGGTAGGAGGATGGTGCTCAGCCGGGCGATCGTGGACGTTTGAGTAGTGTGCCTGAGTCGAAGAAATTTGATGATGGGCCCAGACTGCTTGTACCTTAGTCTTTCCAAGCATCGAGGTTATGTTCTATCTTACTTTCAAGTGATAACCTGATCCCTCCTCCTGAAACTGTAAGGAACGATCCGGAAACCGTTGGACAAGTACCTTGGCTAGCTCTGGGACCAACTTGGGCAAAACCCACAAACTATCCAGGCCGTATACCATCAAACAACCGCACACCCGCCTGGAGCATCGTTTTTCGACCAGCCTGGCTTAGTCAAACGCAAAGGACTATTCTGGCCGATTCGGCCGTTTTGTTCTATTAATTTTACTTTATTATTTTTTTTTTTATTTCGTTTATTGTTTCGACTCAACCGGCCCGGCTTGCCTGGCGTCTTTGGCAAGTGGCAGTCGCTTAGTTGGTGAGGACCGATCCAGCCTAGCCCAAAAATCGTTGCTGAAAGAGTCCAACGACCATGCTTTTCCTGAACTGTTTCCGATTAACGATCTCGACTCCCTTACCCTCTTTTTCTTTATAACTTGGGGAAGCAGTCCCGAGGTAAGTCTCAATCTGCCCACTCTCACCTATCATCTTCTCCTGAGTGTTTTTCCTTCTTACAAACAAAGAAATCCCCTCGAACGAATTTCGTCTCGAATAGCACCTCATCTCAGCAGCAAACGCGAAAAAGAACCGTACCAGCAATTACAAAGAATGTCCTCGCCGAACCGTTATTCCTTTGAAAGGGGGCACAACGAACAGTACTCGCAGGTGTGTGGTCGTCGTGAAGATGGTTCGTTAGATGACCCAATTGACATCCCTTCGGATTCCGATGCGTCGACTAATACCGACCATTACTCTGATAACGCTTCAGCATACGGTACCAGTCCGCAACCCGCCGAGGTCGTCAATCTACGAATTCTTACGGTTGCCAGAGTGCAAGAGCTTGTGCGATTCAGACGTTGACTCCGCATCATCGCTGGACAAGCGAGTTATCAGGCGCGATTCCAAAGTCGAGGAAGGCACTCCCGAGGCCACCGAGTTATTGCCAACCGGGCCGTTTTAGCATTAAGGGACATTGAACGCAAGCTGGAGGACTTGATCGAGGACTGCATTATGGTCAGGGCCGCTGCCTAAGTGAGTTTTTTTTTTTTTTTTTTTTTTTAAAGCACAACAATCTTTCTGACCCAAGAAGAAAAAGAACACTGAGACCAAATGATAACTTGATGAGCAAGAAACTGACTCTCCCCTTTTTTTTTTTTTTTTTTTTCTGTAGATTTTTCTTTTCCTTTTGTATATATATATATATTTTTTTTTTTTTGTTTTGTAATTTTTCTAGGTCCCTTCTTATGCAGAGAAATTTTTAAAACCAGAAATGCTCCAAGACAAACCATCAGACCTCTCTTGGAAAGAACTGCTTCACCTGGGAAGAGGCATACCTCCTCTTCAATTCTTGACCATCCAGTTCCTCCAAGGTGTAAGAGCCTTTTTCTTGAGCCTTGATCCTGTAAGGACCATTCCACCTGTTTTCAAACAGTTTTCCCCACTGGGTTTCAAGTGATCTGTTATAAACAAGGACAAGAGTTCCCACATCCAAAGGTCCTCTGTCTGGCTTCTTCTGGTTCCAAAATTCCACTGAGTTGGACCTGGAGTCCTTCATATTTTTGTAAGCTTCTTGAAGAATTCCCTCTCTCTTCTCCAATTGGTGAACTCTAGCTAACAATAATCCTTCTGTAGTTGTAATATCTTCCCACTTAGTGCCAAGGAAAGTCTCCAATTCTAAGTCAATGGGTAATACTGCAGGATGGCCAAACATGAGTTCATAAGGAGTGTAACCAGTTGTTCTTTTGGTGGAGATTCTGTCAGAAAATAATACTAGAGGTAGGTAATTTCTCCATTTCTTCCCATCAGTTCCAGCCAATTTGACCAAAGCATCCTTGATGGGTTGATGGCCTCTTTCAATCATGCCATTAGCTTCTGGGTTGTAGGGAGTTGTGACTTTGATGACTGATCCTTTTTCTGCTAATTTGGTTTGTAATTCTTTGCCAAATTCAGTTCCACCATCCACAACTATACTCCAGGGGGCTCCATACCTGAAAATCCACTCTTCAATGAACCATTGGGCAATTTTTGATGCACTGAGTTTTTCCAGACCAAGAGCTTCCACCCAACCAGAAAGGTCATCTCTGGCCAGAACCAGGTATTTCCATTTTCCAGCTTTGATGTGTACTGTGTCCAAACTGACTCTTCCAAATATTGTTGATTTTCCAGTAGCTTTCTTGTGTTCCAGGGGTTTTGTTGAGCTCCTCTTCTGGCAGGCTTCACAGGATTGGACCCAATTCTTCACTTTCTTTTTCATGTGTGGCCACCAAAACCTGAGCTTGGCCCTTTTGTAGGTTTCTTCAACCCCTCTGTGGCCAAGTTCTTCATGCAGTGCTTGGAGGATGTGATTCTGGTGCCTGGAGACAGTTATTACCAGTTGAGGGAAGGGTGTGCCTCTCTTCTTCAATTTTCCATCTGAGACCATGAACTGAGCTGATTTGTGCTTGATAACCTTCCATTCTGCATCAGTAGTCTCTGAGGGCCTGTTTAGAGTACAGAGGTATTGCTGTAGTTTTCCCCAAATCCCCTCCTGCTGAAATTGACCATACTCCACCCCCAAATTTAGAGTATTGACTTCTTTGACACCAAAACCAGGGTGAGGCTTGATCCATTTTTCATCTTCATCAAAATCTGGCTGGTTGGTTTCATCAGGATCTGGAGGCCTCCTGGAAAGTCCATCTGGCATGGTAAAAGTTTTTCCTGGTACATGGACCAAATTGAAGGAAAAAAGTTGAATGAAAGCTACCCATCTGGTCATGGGGGCATTTGGGAGGTCAGGTGAGTTGATCATTTCAATGAGGCTTTTGGCATCCACTAATAGGTCAAACTGTTGTCCCCAGAGCTGAACTTGCAATTTTTTTAGGATTTTAGCCACTCCACAGAGCTCCAATTTGGATTGAGAGTACCTGGATTCCACTGGAGAAAAGATTACTGATTCATAGAGAACTGGCCTGTCTTGATTATTATCCTCTTGTGTAAGAACTGCTCCTGCTGCTATGTAGCTTGAGTCCACTGCTAATTTGATTTTTCCAGCTTCAGGAGAATAGTCCAATTTTTTTAAGGTGATATCCTGGCCAACTATCCTTTTCAGTAATTCATAGGAGTCTTGGCAGCCTTCATCCCAAATCCAGTCTACCTTTTTCCTAGTAAGTTTCCTGAGTGGAGAAGCAAGTTCTGAGAAATTTTTAATGAACATCCTGACATAGACACAAACTCCAAGGAATCCTCTGACTTCTGTTGGATTGTTGGGTACAGGCCAAGTCTCCACTTTGTTGAGTTGTTTTTTTGAAATTTTTCTGCCTTCTTTACAGACCACATGACCAACAAGATCCAGGGCTGGTACACAGCAGGCAAACTTTTTCCCAGAGATAGTAAGTCCAGCTTCTTCTATTCTGAATAATATTCTTTCCAAGGTAATGGCATATTCCCAAATGAATTTTCTGATCCCTGGATTTTCTGGCAAGGTTTCTTGGTTGTAGTCTGATACTGGTCCCTTGATTCCACCATCATCAATGAAGATACCAACATTTTCTGGAATTTCCTCCTGGAGAATCCACATCATTTGGGCTTGGTAAACAGCAACAGAGTTGGTGGCTCCTTGAGGCAACCTGGTGAGTTGAAATCTTCCTAGGGGGGTTTCAAAAGTTGTAAGAGGCCTGGAGAGTTCTGATAATTCTCTTTCATCATACCCTCCCATAATATCACCAAGTCCATAGCAAGATCTGCCAGTGAATGATTCTATAAGGGCCTCTGGAGAAGGTGGTA